AAAAGTTTTTGGTTTTTTTTTAATTTTTACAAGGCGAAAAAAGATCTCTTTTCATTTTTTACCAACCCAAAAAGTTTTATTTTTTGGGTTTTTTGTTTTTTAAATGTTTTCCATACAAAACCGGGGGGGGGCTTGGGGGGAGGGGGGGGGGGGGGGGCCCCCCCCCCCCCCCCCCGAGATGACCTGCGGTTTTCTAATACAACTGGTATTCTCTCCCCCCAAAAAATATGTGGTTTATTGGTGTTGAAGTAGAGCAAGAGACGAGTGCACCCCCTCCTAAAAAAAATCCTGGATCCGCCCCTGAATACCATTTTAACAATAGTTATTTGCCGTCGTCTTAGGTCTTTCAACGTGGAACCGTTGACAACGATAGAAAAGAGAGTCGACGAGAGCACACGCTATCCTGCATAACTGATCATTATAAACCCAAAAATGTGTACGCTATGATGTCACATAAGCCATTTCATTAATCCCATGGTACAGAGGCCCTGTGACAGGCGAGGCTTACTACAATAGAGAAATTAAGAATCACGTTGACGGCAACCGGCAAACGTCAGATGCAAGTCGACGACTTCTCAAAGCTAAAACCGTTCAAACTAATATTTATGGCGGAAAAAAAAACGGACATGAATGATCTAATTTATAGGAGAAAATAATGACCAAAAAAAATTTAAGGAAAAACTTGGCCACGTGCAAAAAATTATTGTTTGCGGTTACGTGATACTAAACCTCTCCAGGAGGCCTGACCTGTCTAATAATGTGCGCAGACAACGAGAAGAAACATCAAGAAGCATTTTCACTCTAACGTTTTTCAAATTCCTTTATAACTCAAAAGGTTTGCGTTTACCCGACATTACTTTACACTCGCTTAAAACCTTAAGTCAGGGGTACCCAACGTCAATTTTCGAAAAATATCTGTTCGGAAGACGATTTGAGATCTAGAATTTTCGGAACATTTGTTGTAAAATTTCTTGCTTGCCTGCCTCTCCTAGGATTTTCGAACGTCTAAAAAATGGTATAATTGCCCATTTTTAACGGATTTTTACCCTAAAATGGTCACCTAGGATTTTGGGGAGCCTTTTTCCTGGCTGAATTTTCGAAAAGGTAAGTTTTGATCCCTACAATTTTCTAGCCTGCGTAGCAGGCGCTTGGAAGTAGTGGGCACAAGAATAAACGGGCGCACGAGAAGGAGACACGCGAGCGGAGAGGGAGCGCCTGCACGGAAGGCCCCCGAAAATCGTTTCCCGCCCCCTCTCCAATTACCTGGCAGCCGTTGCGTGAGCTGTCAAAAGTTTTGATAGAAAACGACTGACCTCGCACAAACAAAGCGTGCCGCCAAAAAGCGTTGTACATTTTATCTTCGGTCTAAATATATGTTTATATAAAGATCGGCTGGGTTATCTGATTATATAGCGATGGAGCAATAAACTGATGGTTAACTGACACACAACTTTAAATCTTTTTTAACCACAGGCACAATAAATAGGAAACAACAAAGTCAAAACTGGGTAGCAGGATCTTCGTCCACGGTTTTTGCAGTTAATTTAATCCTTATCTTTTAAAGAATGCATGCTGTGTATTATAAAAAACTAAAAATATTGTTCTCTGAGCTTACTCAGCCACAACTGGACAGACACCAACGATCACAGCGTACGTGGAAAATGATCATTGCTTTTACTGCGCTAAGTGGCCGACATGTCTTACTAAGCGGACCTAAACTGTACCGACATGTTTTCTACTGCAGTAACGAGACATAAACAACAGACCTCAGGTCGCCTCCGAACGGCGAATAATACTAACAATAGTGAAATGTTTTTTTCAAATTCGTGCCCCTGGCAAGTGTTTCATTTCATCAATCATGTCCAAGTTTTGATGGTATACGTTCCATCGACAACACAAGCGGCCAAGTTCTCCTGAGCAAACGGAATATTTCCTCTGAGCTTCATTGCCACGACTCGACAAATCTTTTGTTTCTCGCCACTTCTGCGAATGCGTATCTGATGTCAATTCTTTCCATCGTGAATACCGTTTGAACACTCCAACTTTTCTTTGAGATTACGGCCACATAGTCCCATTAAACCAGATTGAAGTGACCTCCGCGACCTGAACTTCGATTGTATACAATTTAGCGGCTTCAGGAGCTAGTGGTGTAATGTAAGATCTTCACTACGTTCTCCATGTACTATTGATTGACAGTTTTCTCGCCCCGCGCGGTTAATTTTTCCCTCGGGAGCCTCTCGACCAATTGGAAATATCCGCACTCACAGAGTGCGAGTTGAAACGATTTTCGGGGCCTTCCGTGCAGGCGCTCCCTCACCCTTTGCGTGTCTCCCTCGCGCGCGCCCGTTCTCTCTTTCGCCCACTACTTCCAAGCGCCTGCTACGCAGGCTAACAATTTTCGGATAACTAGACTTTCAGCTAGGAAATCCGAACAGATGAAAAATTTTTAGCATTCTCGATGGGTGCCCCTGCTAAGTCTTTTCACTACTTCGGACTACTGCGGCCCATAAATCTTTTTCTTTGCACTCACTGCCTCTCTGTCAAGCCGTGGAATACATATTCTTAGCTCTTATTGCACGACTAGCCCAGTCTTGTTTTGTTATTATACACTATCGCAAAGTATGACGAAATAAACGTCTGTTGGAACTCTCACCTCGGATCTCTTTACGGACACTAGGTCGTTGGATATTATGTACCATATCTAATAATTTACTACAATTTGCTGCTCAGTGGTTTGCTGCTTACAGCTTGTGGTATTCCAGGAAATTCGTCATCAAAAGCCGCACGTAAAACATCCTCCACCCTGTTAGCCAAGATAAAGTCCATCTCGTCCTGATGAATAAAGACAACAATGTTTTACACACATGAGTAGCCTGTTTCAGTCGTTCACAGCGTTGAGCGCGGGGTAAAAATAGAGCGAACAACGAAAAAGAGGGAAGCTCGACGCAGTCTCCCCTCGCTATAAGAGGATTAAACAGAGGTAGTATTTCTTCATTGGAGCGTTCACATAAAGGATTCTTTTCGGTTGTTGCCGTTGAAAAGATTTGCTGATGAACACGTCGTCATTCGAGACTCATTCACAGTTATAAACCGAAAATGAATATGATTAAGACCACAATTCAAATTTCTAACAAGACTACATGGTATCTTACCTTCACGTTATCCGGTAGCTCCGAAAGATCCTAAATTTAAAAGCAACAAACCAAAGTTAAAGACCATCATGCAATATGTAAGTAAACTGAAATTTAAAGTGAAAAACTTTGCGGAAAGCCGCCAAAAAATCGTACGGCTGTATTCTCAGTGTCGGAATCATTAGTATCCAAGCCCCTTTCTCACCTTTTCGTTCCGCCTTGGCAATATCACCCTTTTTAGACCCGCTCTATGAGCTGCTAACACTTTTTCTTTGATTCCACCGACCTATAAAAGAAAATTCAGAGGCAATGCATATCTCAAACCTAACAGCTCCATCTATAATATTCTCTCCGATTTTTCTAGGGAAGGCTTCGTATAAATAAAAGTATCAAAACAATTCCGGTAAAAAAGCGGTAACCAAAAGCGAATTACAAGCCTTACCGGTAAAACAAGGCCTCTTAACGTAATTTCACCTGTCATGGCTGTGTCAGAACGGGTGCAGCGTCCACTGAGGAGAACAAAAAAAAACTTTTATTGCCATATTTAACTCGCAGAGTCAAACGATAATGAGTAACATTACAGTAGCTTGATTGGATAATGATTATCTTACAATGCTAATGGGTCAAAACAAGGAGCCCACTAATCGACTCCCGGGGAAAACGTATTAAAGCACTTAGTCATTAGTATTGGAGAGTAGGTATCATAAGTAGGTGTCATAAACCCCTCATTAAAAAAGGACTCGCCTTTATTTGCCACAGTAATAAGGTAGTCATTGTATTCTTAGCTCTGTTTAAAAAATGAAATGGTTGTAGAACTGAGAGAGATAACTACCTGAATAGTGAAACAAGCACAGTTACGATGGTAACACCAGCAGAAGGGCCGTCTTTACCCACAGCGCCTGCTGGGAAGTGGATATGAACATCTGTACGTTCCAGAAGGTCAATACCGTCCTCTGACGTCAGGAAGTACTATATAACCGGTAAAAAGGATAGACAAATAAGCAGTGGATCAGGTTTTAGTATTTGTAAATTCGATAGGGACAGATGACAAATTGTTGTTGCTGGAAACATCTATAAGTGGTAACTGTTACATTGTTTTCATTTCCACCATTGCTTTCGGTCCATTACAGTAATATAGCCAGGCAAAATCATCGCAACATCAGGGAAAATCAGGAACGGATTCAGATGTTCACGTGGGGGTTTGCTCATCCAGAGCATAAGAAAAGAAGGGGCCCCAGCCTCTAAAATACTGAATTTTTCTCAGCCCTGCGGACTCTAGTTTAGCCTAAGAATTAGAAGGGGGCCCAGGCCTAGATCCGCCAATGGGATTGTTAACACAAGTGTTAAAAGACGAAGAGGTTCGTACTCGCTTTGGTTGGGCATTCCTAAGCACTGCTGTTGGTTTAAAAACGGCGGTAACTTCTTCAGCCAATTGGAAGTCAAACCGTTCTCTCGCGCTTAGCGTGTCGCATGGTATTTGAAACACCTCATCAGATTTTGGTGCAATTCAGTATAAAAGTATCACGATACTAAGCTGAGAATAACTGCAAATTTTGATTGCTAAATAAGGTAAAAATACACACCTCAACGGACCGACTCCTAAGCCAGCTTAGCGCCAACTGTGCAGACTCCTTCATGACATCCCCTGAAGATTAAGGCAAACATTGTGCTCATACAAAAAACTCTACTGATTTCAGCAGCAAACTACTTCTTGTAAATATAGTAACCATTACTGCGCTGATCATGAGGTCTACAAAGGTGGACAAATTTAAGAGCAGAGCCATTAAATCTTTGAGACAAGTTCCTTTGTCTAGTTCTCTAGTAGTATTTTGAGGAAATGTTTTAAATAAATATATATGAGACACATACCAAGCTGTCCTGTTAAGGTCAATTTTCCTTCCCCTCCCATCCGCGTGGCTTCAACAAACATGATTTCTCCGCCCATGGCCGTCCACGCTAAACCTTGGGAGAACATGCGAACAAAAAAAGAGAACACACGGTTAAAAACCACAATGACAGCAGATGGAATTGTGTAGTAAGGGATAAACTTGGGAACCAGTACTAGGTTTCTAAATGGTTTGTAAGTCTAGTTCCTTGACAGCCATCGTAGGTGGCACAGGTGCTGAACAAGGCATGCATTCAAGTCACATGTAAAACAGGTCACCAGTGCTATTAAGAGTTGTCGTTTGAGATCTTTTATACCCACGATCATGACGTTTGATTACAACTAACAGGGATTGCTAAATCTGAGACCCAAAGTAAACAAAGAAAGAATTCTGGTTACAGAAGGAAATTGACGTCATCGTGAAATGAAGCCCTAGTTTTTGAGTCTCTGAAGTCTTTTGAAAATTTGATGATTCAAATGAAAGCCCTACGTTTATCTTGCGTTTCTTAAAATGAATTGCTTTCAAGTTACTTCACAGACTTATCCCTGAGCCGCGAGGAGCGGTACACGCATATTTTCAGGGCGTCAAGAATTTACGAGTACATGTAAGAGACCGATGAGCATAAAAGATAAAAAAAATCCCAACACTCACCGACAGCAACCCCAGGGGTAGAAAGTCTTTGAGCCACCTCAGATTCAAACGCAGGAGGCTGGAAAGTATTTATATCATTAGATAACAATAACACAAAGAAGAGCTATTGATCGAGGAAAGCACTTAATATCTTTCGATAATCTACACGTGACCCCCAGAGAAAAAAAAAATTTTTTTCATAGATTTAAAGTTGAAGAGTAACTAACTATTTGCCAAAGATTTTTCATTGCAAATTGCAGATTAAAAATTTCCATTTGTTTGAATTTGTTTCCAAAGGAAGCTAATGAGCAGCAGTCTTTCAGCTCCGCAGTTGCCAAAAGTATCCAGCTGCTTATATATATGCCGACAAAAACTTGAGTGAGAAAAGAATGATTCCAGCAGCAAGGAACAAAATTAACACAACGGCAAATGAGAACCTCACCCCTAGCACATCAGTTAAAAACTTTTCGGTAACCAAAAACGCCCTTTTGTCAGCAACAGTAACAGCTGTAGTGTTGGAGCTTGCACCCTCTTGTTCTTTAGATTCCTCTTTACCGCTGTCTTTAGTTTTCTCTGATGCACTCCTTGCGGCTTCAGCGACCTACATTTAAGAAATCAGTGAAGAAATAAACACGAATACGGCAAGTTGGTGGCTATTTTCACCCTGGCAGCACAAAATAACGAGATTTGAATCATTAATGGCTGCTTCGGTATTCCACAGCTAGGGAGCTTTCCATTTACAAAGAAATTCCAGTTGGGATGGAAATGTACATGTAACACACATTTTACCCGGGAACAATAGGGGTATATGTACTTTGAAGAGGTAGTCCTGTTTTCCCTTTGGAAACAACGCAAGTAAAGTAATGGCATATAAAGTTAAAACCAAAAACATGTCCCTACCCGCACGGCGACTGCTCTGCACACGCCACCAATCTTCCGTTCAAGTGATCGTACCCCAGCCTCACGAGTGTAATTAGAAACTGCAAGGAAAAAAAACATTTTTAGTTTTTTTTTGCTTAATTTATAGAGTTTTCTTTCTTCCAACAAAATAAAAAATGCGGATTAACAAATGATGGGGAATCTGATGCTAAAGAGAGATTATGGATTCTCGGGTATAAAAACCAAAATCAAAATAACGCCCCGTTTATATGGAGGAAAGTTGTCCCCGGTAGAAGTGTCAACCGCCTACTCGAGCAACCCTGAGCGAGCCAACTTGTCATTCATTTCCGAGCAAAAGGTGGCGAACCGTTTACATGAAAGGGAAGAAAAAGTTGGCTCGGCTTTTCTGATGGTAGGGTCGCCCTTCTAGTCAGGCCAACTTTTCTCCATAGAAACACTTTGGTTCAACTCGGTCAAGGCTAATTTTCCTAAATTATCATAATTTTCAAGGACTCTATCCAAGCTCTAAATAACTTTCCGCCAAACTTCACCCTACAGATCTTTTCGTAAAGACCAGAAAACTTTAATGTTAGGCGAAGATCATGACGAAACACGCAAGTAATAGCCCTGTCACGTTTGTCACGCACAAACGTTTTGCCGTCCTCTTTTTCCTACTGTCCTGTCGCGTATCAGAGCATGCACGAGCGCTGTTGGCTCAGGCAAAGGGGTCGACTTTTTTTTCTCATCAGTATGAAGGCTTGCTAAAGTTGACTCGGCTGGGAGGGCTACCCTTTTACCAGGGGCAGGTTTTTCCATATAAGAGGTGCCTAAAAAAGGAATCGAATTCACTACGAAAACATGGCGCTGAGGTGAAGTTAACAACAACATTGCCGCGTTTTCAGGGCAAAGCATTCATTTAGTTCTTGTGTAAGTGTGATTTCGTAACTGCATACCATTCTGCGCCTCTCAAAAGATTGCAGAATCCTTAGCCTGCCCAGCTGGCGCTTTTTGCCGGGGAAGGTGTGATGCAAGGCGACCGGCAAACCCTTATAACACATAATAATTCAGGGTCCGAAATTGCGCCTTCCTGGTCGCCAATGCGACCAAAAATTCAGTTCTGGCGACCAGAATTTCATAGTTGGTCGCCAGCTGGCGACCTCGTAAAGCTGGTTGTCACTGTAGACTTTCACGTTCGGAGAAAATGATTAAGAATTGAAACCTCGAAGCTATTTGCCAACAGGTGTCTTACTATTCGTCCTGCGGATATTTTTTTAATTTAAAAGTGAAACGAATCTTCCTGTAAATATACCTCGACAACAGCTACGATCAATACGAGTTGAACGTTTCCAAGCCGCCAAGAGGAATTTTTGGCGACCATAATTTGCCCCTGGCGACCAAAAATTTATACTTGCTCACCAGTTGGCGCCCATATTAAAAAGTTAATTTCGGACCCTGACATACATCCTCCCCTAAAACGGAAACCTGGGAGTTATTCCCTCTCGTTCTTCAGACATTTTGTTTGACTCTTTGTGAGATGAACACTTTTCTAAAGGTATCCCTCTTAGAAAGACGCTACTGGATTTACTTTCTGGTTCATTATTAAAGGTACACATACTTATCGCCTTGAGTGAACTGTGGGGAACCTCAATGTCTTGATCAGTGAGTCCGTGTTCCTGCAAAATAAACCAGAAAAGCTTTTCTCGCCGACTGCAAAATAATTTATAATTATCATAAACTACGAAGGGAAGCTGAAAAATATAAACAATCATCAACTTCTTCGAAATATCCTCTTGCCAACATTTTTTGTCATATTTGATTTTACAAATACGATGCTAGACTCTCTTCAACAGTAAGTCGGTAAAAAAGAAGCAAGTTAAATAATTTCCAGAGAGTGTATGACAAACCTTCAACTGTTTGGGTAGAAGATGTCGTTTTGAAATGGCGATCTTTTCTTCCTGGGTGTACCCTGGAACCATGATTAACTGAAAAAAAAAGCATCAAATGAAATGAAATCAATTTTGAACATTATCTCTCTCGCCCTGTAAGAAGGGTATAGGCAGCCTTTGTAACCCCCCAAAAAATCTCTCTCGCTTTTAGAAAGAGGAAGAGCCCCAAGACTGCTTAACAACCCCTCAAACAACATCTAGATCTCCGTGTACGAGGGAAGGAATTCTCAGAACTGAGACTATCTCACTTTCTGCGAGTAATGGTATTCCCTGGACTACTTACCTCCATTCGATCCAACAGGGCAGGAGGAATTGTGCTGACTGTATTGGCAGTGGCTATGAACAGAACCTGCAGACAAAATAGGACGTGTATAACTACATCTATTCAGTCTGAAGCGTAAAGTGAACACAAGTTTGAAGTACTCACTTGTGAAAGATCAAATGGAATGTTCAGATAGCTAGATGTAAGTTAAGGAAACTGCTTATAAAACATGATAAGTTTGTAATCACACTATTATAGAACCTCGACTTCTTATTAACAATAAAATTGGGACAGACCAGTCAGAAGATGGGTTAATCAGTTAAATAGGAGACGAGAATCAATCGGATGGAATCAAAGTAATTTGGGTTAAAAAAAAGTGATGTACCCAAAATAAATTTTAATAAGAAAACTGACATTTTGAAAAAGTATTAGGGAGTCAGAGCAACTTCATAATATCCAGCCACTTGTTGGAACACTATAAAGAATGAAACATAACACAAGGGACACGTTTGCTATTCAAGAAGATGCCATAAGTGGCTGGGTATTCTGAAGTTTAGCAAGTATTAGGCAAACAAATACAGTGTAAAAGATAAGATAGGATACTGGTCTACAAATGTCCAGTTCTGCTCAGGATCTAAGACTTCCAACAAAGCAGCAGCTGGGTCGCCATGAAGGCTTTTACCCTACAAATATAAAACAAAACCATTCTCAACATGTCACACTTTGTAGTATTAAATTGCACAATTAAAGCATTTATTGTTACTTTCTAGATTGTTCAATATTACATGTATGCAAGGTCCCTTTTTTAGGCTTAATTCTGCCACAAACTGCAAAGCCATCTCACCATCTTGTCCACTTCATCCAACAAGATAACTGGGTTCTTGACGCCAACTGTTTTCAATGCATTCAAAATTCTTCCTGGCATGGATCCTATGTAAGTGCGCCTATAACAAGACACCAACAACAATCACCTCAATTTAAAGAAATCAGAAACCAAAAGAAGGAAGGGGAAGAGAGAGTATGCTAAAAAGGTCACAACAATGAGCAGGTACCCACGAACCCATATTCAGATAGTCTCTCTCGCAGCCGTTTTTATGTGTCGTCACGCAATGCTCCTCCACAGAAACTTGGAGGAGCATTGCGTGATGACACTAACAATGGCTGCAAGGGAGACTACCATTCAGACTCCTGATGCACTTCTTGACTGAAGCCAGTATGGCCGAGTGGTTAGAGCACCAGACTTGTAATCCGGAGGCCCATTGTTCAAGTCCCGACCTGACTGCTACCTGGATTTGTTCAAGGTAGTCCTGAGTTCAAAATTTTAAGCCACACTTGTAAAATAGCAATGACTTTCAATTGGTGGCAAAAGCATTTTACAAACAACAAAAATTAATGATGAAAAAGAAATTTAAAAAAAAACATGACCAATGATCTATCTCTTGTCCATGGTCAGTGAAAAGTCTTTTCATTTCATTGCTTCCGGTTGATAATAATATTGATAGAGTCATGGCTGAATTACCAGGTTTTGATAATAAACTATGATATTTTTGTGAACCATGAACAAAAAGGATTTAACTCCAAGGAGTAGTTTGAAATTAATACAGGATGCGTTCAACATGGTAAGTAAACATTATCACCCACCTGTGTCCTCTGATGTCCGACTGGTCGCAAATTCCACCAAGTGATATCCTTAAAGAAAAATAAAATAATAGAAAATTCTTACTAACAAGCTAACAAGGAAGGAGAGATTACAAACACAGTTATGGGAATTTGTCCAGAACCTTTGAAATTCCCGACCAAGTGTATTCGCAATAGACCTTCCAACGCTTGTTTTACCAACTCCAGGAGGGCCAACAAAGCACAGGATTGGTCCTGTAATGGAAAAGGAGATGTGCCACTAAATGAGAAGTTTGCTATAAACTTACCCAATAAAAATAAAATAAAGACTAAAAGACTGGCTGGCTTGCTCTGTCAGTAGAAATCTTACTAAACTGTCTGACTGTGTGTCATAACTGGTTAACTATAAAGCAAAAATAGACGTACAGCATGTACTGCCTTCAATGTGAAGACTTAAAAGAAAATACAACTTACTGAAACTTTACTTACTGCAAACAATAAAAGTTATTACTGTTGAATTTTACCTTTTAAACTGTTTTTTAATTTGCGAACAGCAAGATACTCGATTACCCTCTTCTTTAATTTTTCCAGACCATAATGATCTTGATCAAGATCAAGCCTAAAAAAAATTGCAATAAATGAAAATAATTCATTACTTATACATACTATCAAAATTTAGTTTATTTGGTAAATTTCTTCAATATACTGTAGCTCCCTAAAGATAAATATGTATATGTACAGTATATTTGGGTATGGGTGACTTGATCCCTCTCAGGAAAAGAAACTGGAAAAAGAAACATACAGTACCCCCTGGAATGCTTTCTTTGCCTCCAAAATAGCGAGGACATTCACACTGATACTTCAGAAAATTGATATCTACAGCTACTTGGTTCCTCACCTTGCCTGTGGGATATCTAACTTGTCTTTGGTTTCTTTGCTCCATGGAAGGTCAATCATCCATTCCAAGTAATTCCTTAGAAAGAAAACAATCAAAATGAATTTCATACTCAACAAAGAAAATTAAGTTAAAGTGCATTTACAGTAGAATTTCCCTTTTTTGGCTATCCTGGTGATTCACGATGCTTTGGCAATCATTCTCTAGCCTGGACCTGAGAAATTTATTTTGGTAGTCAGGGTTTCAGTTTTGAAAAGTAACAACCACTTCAAAGTTCATCAACAGATGACATGCTTGTCAACCCCGAAATGTATACCAGATGAGGTAAAAGAACAGACATGGCACTAGAGAAGTCCAAGTCATTGGAACTACCTCTTTAAAATGCAACCTCAGACCAAATTATTATTTTTACCTTGATGTGGCATGTTCAGGGAACTGTGGTGGCATCTTTTTCAGTCTCTACAATGATGAAAAAGTACTGATCAGTATTCAAGGACGGCAGTAAAGCAGTAAACCCTAATAGTCATCTCTCCACAATGGCCACTTTTTTAGGTTCTAGTGCTTTCATTTGTTTACTAATAATAATAATAAAAATTTCATGATAACCTCATAATTCATTCTAAATATTGTTTCACTCCCTTTAGTTTACTTCCCCTCTTTAAAATGAGCTGGCAGTCATGACCAAATTTGGACAATGACAAATGGTTTGAAGAAAGTCCATGTGGGGGTAGGAATACTAATGAGTGCGGGCGACAATGATCGAAGGTCAAAATGCTTTTGCTCCATTGCTGTGCTTTTCGTTAGTTCTACAGGTAG